CCTGGTCTTCTAGATTCAACTCTGTGTCCCCTACTTACCAGCTACGTGTACAGAGGCGAGTGGCTTCCCATCTCTGGGCCTGTGTCCTCCTCTGTAAGGTGGGGACAATCATCCCTACCATTGTTGGTCACTCAGAGAGCCTGTCTGAGCAGGTGCTGCCATAGCCGGCACTGCCATGCCTGGGTATGGAGGCACACAAGATGGGGAGGCTGGGCCTGAAGGGCGAGATGGATCCCCGCGGCCCCCTCCCGAGCCGCGGACTTTGCTGAACGGCCCAGGTGGCCAGTGGCCCAAGGCCAGAGGGGCTGGGCCACACAGGGACCCCCACACCCTGCCTGCAGGCGGCTCCCGCCCAGGCAGACGGGGCCCAGCCACCTCTGCCTGGCCGTGCCCGTGTGCTCACACGCGGACTGGCCGAAGCCTGGGCTACTGCAGCCTTTCAAGCTGGAAAGGTCTGGAGTAGGGACAGCTGAAAGGGAGAGAGGTCCAGACGTGCACTCTCCCCTGGCTTCCTCGAGAGCAGTGACATAAGCAGCCACAAAGGAGGAACCAGAGGGTCACAGAGGCCCCACAGCAAGAACGAGGCTGAGCTGGGGTCGAACCCTGCCCCGCTGCAGGGAGAGGTGGTGTGCTATCAGAAGGTAACCGGAAGCCTTCCCACCCACCTGCCCCACGCCCCCAGCCCCAGAGCTGGGACCAGGACTGCCTGATCTCACCTGCACAAGAAAAATGCAAAGCAGTGGGGTAAAGCGTGGTCGCTTGAATTTTTTCCCCCGTGGTAAAGTGGAGCAGACAGGGCTACATCACCAAATGAGCTCTCAAAAAATGATCCTTTGGGAAACGAACTGGCCATTTATGATGTAGAAAGAAATCAGAAGACAGCCCGGGCTGGGCATGGGACGAGGCCCGAGGAGGGGAGTCAACGCTGCAGAGCTGGGCAGGCTTGGAGGCAACGCAGGGCCGGGAAACAGGTTGGAACGTCAGGGTGAAGGGAACGGTCCTGCCCTGTCTGTCCCAGTGGTGACGAACCCGGAAGCCCGGCTCTGCAGAACACCAGGTGCAATGCCAAGAAGTATACCGAGGCAAGATACTGGGCTTTAGCGGGATCAAAACCAACCTCGTGAGCTGAGTGTCACCTCTGAAAAGCCTCCCACACACACTCCCTTCCCCGCTGACTCCTGGGCACCGACCAGAGCTGGGGGTAAGGTATGACGATGGCAGCGGCTCTGACAAACCCGCCCTTCAGGGCTCAGCAGCCCTGCACAGATGTGGACCCAACGGCTGTTTGCATCTGGCCGGCTGCAGGTGCCTGTGGTCTACGCAACTTTATGGTGTAAATCTGAGAACATCTGACCTTTTTTGTTTTTCCTGGCAAATAATGGGAAAACAGACCCATTACTTAGTCCTAGCAAGAACGCTCCTTTTTCTACGTAAGAACGTCCTAAGACGAGAATCGTCTTATGGGGGAAGAGAGAGAGGATATTTGAAACTAAGACAGCGCGAGATCTGGGTCTGATGGAAGGGAGAGCCAGTCCTGAAGGACAAAGGTCACCGGCGGGAGTCTGAATCTCCCTCGGGAGGAATCACGTCACACTTAAGCCTCCCTCCATGCCTTTCCTTGCCAGGTCCCCCTTTTTCCCGTTCTCAACGTCCCAGCTCAGATCCCACACTTCCCGCAAGAAGCCCTGCCTGATCCCTCGCAGCTCTCAGCAAACTCTGCCGTGACAGTGCCGATCACCGCGGTGACGTGACGTGACGTGCGGTCCGCTGAGGGGCTTTGCTCAGCCCGAAACAGGGCATTCCTTGGGAGCGCGCCCCCTCCCACCCGTCGGGTCTCACTCCCTGTGCAGTCGCGTCTGACGCTCGGCTGGACACAGTGACGCGCCGCCAGGCAAGTAGTGCGGAAACAAATTCCAACTGCCACAAGCGCCTGGGGTCCGGGGGAGCGGCGGGAACGGTCCCCCGTCCCGAGGAGCTCGGGCGCGAATAAGGGCCCCACGGCAAGAACGAGGGCCTGCCGAGTCCAGGGCCTGCCGACCGGGGTCAGCCGCGTTCGCCCCCTCGTCCCGCGCGCGGCCGGCCTCGGCCCACTCCGCCCTCGCGACACCTCCAGGACGGCACGTCCTCTTGTTTACGTTTCACACTCGTGGAAACGGGTGCTGACAAAGGGACTGCGACTTGACCCGGGCGCCGAGGTGGGAGGTCCCGGGACCGACTGGGGCGACGTTGTCCGCGAGCGTGTGGGGAGGGAGCTGAGCCGGGCCCAGGGCCCCGAGAAGGCCCCGGCGGTGGAGTCC